GATTAAGGACCCGTCCTGTTCCAAGGTAGCCTCATGTATATATATATATTTAATTGAAGTATAGTTGATTTACAATGTGTTAGTTTCAGGTGTACAGCAAAGTGAATCAGTTATCCACATATATCTATTCTTTTTCATGTTATTTTCCATTATAGGTTATTACAAGACAGTGAATATAGTTCCCTGTGCTATACAACAAGTCCTTGTTTTTATCTGGTTTATGTATAGTAGTATGTATCTGTTAATCCCAAACTCCTATTTTATCCCAACCCCCTTCCCCTTTGGTAACCATAGTTTGTCTTCTATGTCTGTGAGTCTATTTCTGATTTGTAAATAAGTTTATTTGTATCTTTTTTTTAGATTCCACATGTAAGTGATATCATACAAGGTCTTTCTCTGACTTACTTAGTGTGATAATCTCTAGGTCCATCCATATTGCTGCTAATGGCATTATTTCATTCTTTTTTAGGGCTGACTGATATTCCATTATATATAATATAATGTTCCATATACACCACATATTCTTTATTCAGTCATCTGTCCATGGACATTTAGGTTGCTTCCATGTCTTGGCTATTATAAATTTTGCTGCTGTGAACATTGGGGTGCATGTATCTTTTTGAATTAGAGTTTTCTCCTGATATAAGCCCAAGAGTGAAGATGACTACTTCTTAACTAATTATACCTGTATCAGTCCTTCCAAATAAGGTCACATTCTGAGGTTCCAGGAAGAGCCTGGATTTGGGGAGACACTAGCCAACCCAGAATAGTCCCTAAGGGTTGGAAATGGACACACATGGGAAGCTCACCATGGACGGGAGGCTGCTGCTGACCTGGCTGGGGTAGATGGAGAAGTTGTGACTGCTGCTGTGTAAACACATTTTATGGGTTTATTCTCTTCTAATGAAAAGGAGAATTCATTCTTGCATTTAGCTGGGGAAAATCGCGGGTATTTTAGGAGTCAGTGCTTTTCTAGAAGTGGTCATGTCTGAGAACAGGCTCCCACCCAGCCACTTCATTGCTGGGCAGCGTGCAGCTGCCTCTTCCAGAGCTTGCTTCCCGAGCTGCCGAGACCCTGGGCTGGGTCTACGGGCAGTTCACGCATTGTCTCCTGGGCACACCATCTGGTGCAGGGCTAGCCAGAGGCCAGCACGCGTGAGGCAGAGCAGCTGATCACAAGGGGCCCTGCAGGGCTAGCAGGACAGCGGGTCCCAGAGAGAGTGGGGGAGACGCGCCTCGGGTTCAGGGGCTGAGATTTGACATGAAGGATGGAGGAATAATCCTCGCCAGGCAGAGGGCAGGTGCGGGTGTGCTTTGGGCTCCCCTAACTGGCCTCTCACTCACAGTGCCCAGTAAAGGGAGTCTCCTGTCCCCTCCTGCCTCACCCACCCGCACCCTGTGCTGGGTGGGGAGGGGAGAGCGAGGCACCCGAGCAGACTGGCAGGGCAGCAGCTCCTGTCTTCAGCAGCTGGTGCACGTGTGAGCAGAGGAGGCCGCATCCTGGGGGAGTGCACGAGGAATTCAGAGTTCAAGCCTCTGTTCTCCAACCACCTCATTTTTCCCTCCGACCCGGCGCAGCCTGGCAGCCCCTCCCCAGGCAGCTGCTCTGTGCCGAGTCCTGGCCTTCCTGGGGGCTTTGAGGCAGGCGAGGGGCTCCCTTGAACGCCGGAGTGTGGCGTTGACCTGGTCCTAGATTTCAGCTGCTGCTATTCTTGTATTCATACCGCTGCAGAATTTCTGTAGGGTGCTGCGTCCACACAGAGTTCAGTGTCTGCCGTGTCGTGGAGATGCAGATTGTTACTTTGTTCCTCGCATGCTCATTGTGGCTGAGTTTCATTCCCAGCGGAAGTTAGGACGGAGAGGATGTGTCAGGGTCATAAAAGCCTGAGAAAACCCCCAAGGCTACGAGCTTGGGAACCTTTGCATGTAAAGTGTGTTCCTGCCTGGACCCCGTGCCCCACCAGCAGAGCTCCCATGGGGGAGGGGATGTCGGGGAGGCCACTCTTGATGGGTACCTGCCACCTTATCTGTTGGAAAGCACATGCCAAGTGAATGTCCTTCGTTCTTTTTTCTGATTTGAGGACCATCACATTGAGTGGTTTTACCTGCATCTCTCACGTTGAGCTTCATCTCTGTTTCCAGTGTGGGTTTGCGCCTTGCGAGAACCCCAAGACTGGGGACTCAGTGTGGCCGGAGTTCACCATTTAGGAGCCAGAGTCACCTTCTTTGTTCAGCTCTGCCTCTGGCCGGGCTGGAGGTGGGGTTCATACCCCAAGCTCAGTGTGTGAACAGCCCCACATGCTGTGGGAACATGGGAGGCTGGGCCACATGTCAGCTTCTGAGCGATACCCCTCCCCCTCCCACATTCTTGGGAGCTGGCCCCAGAGTGTGGCCGTGGCTGGTTGTCCATGGCCTTGGAGCTGGGTGGGTGCTGACGTCAGCCTGCCTGTACTGGGTTCAGGACTCCTGCTCTTTCCAGCCCCTGGCTTCCTGGGGCTCTCCCAGCTACCGCCCTGTCAGACCTCTTGGCTTCTCTGTCCCTTCAGTCTGCTCATCCTGCCACCGGCCACCCACCTCCTCTTTTCTGTGGACCTCTGCTCAGATGCCCACACACTCCCTTTTGCCAAGGGATGGAGGCCCAGGCTTCTTAGCTGTGCCCTCTCCTGTCTCCAGCTAGCTCCCCTGTGCCCCACCCCTACTGCTCATGTCCTTCTCTAGACCCTCCCCCTGTGTGGGACCTGCCACCTCCGTGCAGGCCTCCTGGGATGCGCCCAAGATCATTCACCCATTCACTCAACTACTCACTACCCCTCTCACCTTGCAGGCCCTCCCTCATTCTGATCTCACTGTCCCTCTGGGAGGGACTCCATCCATCCCCACAGAACAGACTGTGCTGGTCAGCAACGCTGGCCTGTGTCCCCAACAAAACAGCCAGGGATTTAGGAGCAGAGCACATTCCTGTGTCCCTGGCAGCTGGACCTGAACTCAGACCCTAAAAGCTGCTTGCTAAGTTGCGGTTATCCACCCTCCTCCCGTCCCACAGGAAGACAGTCAGAGTTAGGCTGTGCACAGGGGGTCACAGTCAGGCTGACCTGTGGCCAGCATGCCCCAACGCGTCCCACCCAGTGCACAGCAATAGCCACGGTTGGTGGCCATTCTGATTGCTAGACATATGGAACCCTGAAAGTGGGAGGAGGGTATGTTGTCACTAAGAGCCCAGGCTCTGAAGCTGAACAGGCCTGGAGGCTCCAGAATTCCCCCACCTACGGCCCTGGGCAATTTCAAGGCATCTTTCTGCCCCCACACCTACTTCAGTGGGTCAACGTGCGTTAACCAAGGCAGCGCCTGGCCCAGGGCTTGGCACCCGGAAAGGCAAGATTACTAAGGCCATCCAGAGAGGAAGAGCCTCTGGGAAGACCCACCCAGGTTCAGATCCAGCTCTGCCCTAAACCAGTGGCCCTGCCAGGAGAACAGGAAGAACAGCTGCCATCTGCTGGCCACTGTGAGGCTACGCGCTGACACTGGTCAAGCCAATGGCCCGGGGCCCGGCCCAGCACGTGTGGCCTCCAGACCCTGGGTCATTTCGGGGCTGCACTTGGGCTGGTTGAGGTGGGGGCAGGCCCTGCCCCCAGCCCCACCTAGCTTGGACTCCACTCTGCCAGCTGGCTGGGCACTGCCTCCAGCTCCGGGCATGTGCAGAGCAGTGACTCAGTTGTGGCCACCCCCACACACCCTGTTTGCCATGGGAAGAAGCCCATTCTCTCACAATGTGTATCTTTCTCAGAAATTTTATATACTGGGTTACAGATTTTCTTTGCCAAAACAAAAGTTTCTTCCTGGTTATTTCTGAAACAAGGCATCTCAGAAAGCCCTAGGCAGTTGTAGGCTCTGACACTGATAGGCCTGGGTCAAAGCAGCAGAAGGGCCCAGGCCGGCTGCCCACCCCACCCCACTCATCGCAGTGCACCCCAGAGGCTCCCACAGCCCCCCTGCAACCCTTTTGGACACAGGCTGGGCTGGCAGCAGGCCAGGCTCCAAGGTACCCCAGACTCCCAGGAAAGGGTGCACCAAGGCACCTGGGGCCGCGTGGGAGGTGAGGTGGGGAGGTTAGTGAGTGCAGCCTGGCAGGAAGAGGGTGGCCCTGCATGCAGACAGACCAGCTGGGTGGCCCGGGGCATGACTTCACCTACCTGAGCCTCGTTACCTGTCTGTCCCCTGGGGATGGTACAGTTCCTACCCTGACAAGGCCATTGAGAGGCCACAGCCAGTGTCTCCACACCAAAGACCCCATAGGTGAGTGTGGCCTTGCTCCTCAGGGGAGACAAGCGAAGACCTGCAGGAGGGAGGCCCTGGGCAGCAGCAGGGAGGGGAGCTGTGACTGTGGCCTGGGGGATCTTCAGATAGGCTTTGAAGCCAGGATGGCATTGGACTGGGTAGGGGGTGAGGCCTCTGAGGAGGTGAGGTGGTGACGAAGCTCCAGGCAGTGGGGACACAGAAAGGCCTCAAGCGCGAGCACTCGTGTTTGCAGGGAACGGGGCAGTTTGGTGTGGCTAAGGGTGGGCGCAAAGCGGGGAGCAGGTCAGCTTGGCAGGGGAAGCGCGAGTCAGATCAGCCGGGTTGGGCCTGCCATGTAGGGACGGTGCCCAGGCTTCATTCGGGATCTGCGCCCTCTGGGTGCACCCTCTGCCTCTTTGCCCAGACAGCCCACCCCGGCCTGCACTGCAGCATAGGGGCACAGGTACCCCCTGCAGAGCACAGCCCAGGCCGTCGCTCCAGCTGGTCCCTCCTCCATCACCTCCACTGACTCAGGAGGGCCCACACCCCCCACCCTAGGAGGCTGGTGGCCACCTTGCCCTAGTAGGGTGCTGGAGCAGCACCACCCAGGCTGGTTATCTCCCTAGCAGCTCTGCCCACCCCTCCCTCCTGGGCCTGGCCGTCGGGTCTCCGGTGCCAGAACCTTTTGGTTATTGATAACCCAGCCACCCCGTGTCTCTCCACAGATGACTCTGGGGACGACGACGACACTGCCTCCCCGACCGACAGGACCGAGCTGCACGACACCGTCCGGAACCTCTCCCTGAAGCTGGACGACCTCAGCACGTGCAATGAGCTGGTGGCCAAGCACGGCGCAGCGCTGCAGCGCTCCCTGAGCGAGCTGGACGGGCTCCGGACCCCCTACGAGAGCAGCGAGAAGCTGAAGGCGGTGAACGAGCGGGCCACCCTCTTCCGCATCACATCCAATGCTATGATCAACGTGAGTGTCGCCTACGTCCTGGCCCAGGGTCACCACGGCACCTCGGTCCCCGAGCGGGTGGCCGGGGTGCTGGACAGACTAGGGCTCCCTCTCACACTCCCCATCCTGTGTCACTTCAGCCACGTGGTGTCAATGGGCGAGGAGAGTGCTTAATCATCAGGTGGAAACCAGGGTGGGGTGTGGGATCCAGCTGAGGCCTGCAGGCCTGGGTGAGGAAGGCTGAGGCCCCAGCTTGAGCGGATGGCTCTGTGCCCACAGCAGGGACACCACAGCCGTGCCATCCCACAGCAGCTGCCGCCGCTCCTTCCCCAAATACATTTGCCACCGAGACGCAGCAGGGTCAGGACCTGTAACCGTGGGGACGGGCACGTGGGGGTGCTGGTGTCAGGGGCCGCTCAGTCAGAAGAGCTTTCGAGCTGCGCCTGCCGTGGCCGTGCCCACCTGATAGTAGCTGAATTCTGGGGTTTCAGCCCCAGGAGTCACCTTTTTCCACAGGGTTCTGGAATGGGGAGGGTCTCTCCGTGGCGGCAGAGAGCACAGTGCCCGATAACACTTGCAGGCCCTTCCTCTTTCTGCCCAGTGTTTCCCAGAGGCACCTGTGCTCCTCCAGGCCTCCCACAGCAGACAGAGGTCTGACTGCGATGGCCTCCTCCCCAGGGCAGCCCCCGGGAGGGGCACATTTGGGCTCTGGATGGCATGTTCGGACCCGGGGGCCAAAGTGGGGAGGTGTGGGGAGATGGAGGCCAATACAGAGGAGGCAGCCCAGGTCCAGAGAACATGGTACAGGCAGACTGTACTGGTGCCCAGGTGAGCTCCAGCTTGGGGACCCAGCCTCTGAAGCAAGGGGTTCAGACCAGAGCAGGGTCAGGAGTTGGGACCAGGCTCTACGCCCAACACCAGGAAACCTGGGGGCAGGGTGGGAAGGTGGAGGCTGGAGCCTGAGCGAGACCCTCAGATGAAATCCTGGGTGTGGGAGACTTGCCCCAATCCTTCTTCACTGGGACTGTGGGGGCAGCATGATTCTGGGGGGTGTTGAGGGGCGTGGACCACTCCCGCCACAGACAGGCTTGGGCCTGAAGCTGCTGGGGTGCAGGAGAGGGGCACCTGCTTCCCAGACTACAGGGAAACATGCACAGGTGGTCACACAGGTGGACCTTTGTCCCCAGCACTTGGGGAGTGCAGCTGGTGCCCGCCTGCTGAGGGGCTGCTGGACCACAGCTCTGCAGCCACCCCGTGATTTGGCTCCATTGTTGGTCTGCTCTCTTGTCTTCCTCTGTCCACCTGCTCAGCCCACTGGCCTCCTTACAGTCCCCAGACTCTGGGGGCCTTCATCACTGCACTTCTTCATGGGACAGGCACTGACGTCAGGCATTTCATGGCGTAATGATGCGTTTGTGTCCCCCTGCCCCCTGGCACTGCCTCCCTGTCTGCCCAGGCCGAAGCCACGTCTCTCTAAGCAGTTTGAGCTTTTCCCAGGTGATGAGCTTCTCAGCTGGCACCTCTCACAACAGTATTTTATCAGGCAACAGAGGCAGGTCATGATGAATTGTTTGATGGGCAGGCCCCTGGGGTTGATGAGGAAGCCTGTTTGCAGCTCTGGCACCAGGAGGGTTGGACCTGAGTGATGGTGCCTGCTCCCAGGGCCCAGCTCTGCCCACCTGCTCGCGTGAACCTAACGTGAGAGCCTCGCCACGTCCACCTCTATGGGGAGCACAGAAATGAGGTGCTGGCCCCCAAGGCTGTGCTAGCAGCCTGGGCTAGTGCACAGGCCCACGTTTCTTACAGGGCCCCTTCCTGACAGCTACTCCTCACCTGCGAGGAGCCAACTCGGTTCTGGGAAGGCAGCTCACAGAGCTGTGAGACAGCAAGCACCCAGACCCCACCGTGTGCAGAAGGGCCACCTCTGCCATGAGGAGGAGGTGGACCAGGGAGCTGTAACTAAGCAACCCCTGCAGCTCCAGCCCCCAATCCCCAGGGAGCCCATCCCCCGCCCCAGGATCACTTACCCAGCCCGCCCCCCACCCCACAGCCTCTCTAGTACCATAGGATGCTTAGTGCCCATCGGAAAGAGGCTCCGAGAAGGGAGGGTCAGGAAGCCTTGTCTGCCCACTCTCTAACCACACCCCAGCCCCCCGCTGCCCCACTCCCTGCCCCAGCTCTGCTGACTGTCGCCCTGTCCACGGGTCCTCATGTCTCCTGGGCTTTTCTGCCATGGCATTAGGCCGTCCTCCCTGTTGGGCAGGGCACCGCAATCCTGGTAGCCTGACGCTTCTGTGCTTGGCCTGGTGCCTGGCATCCACAGAGCCTCATTGAACGAGAGAGAGAGAAGATTGCGAAGGAACACAGGAGCGACTGAATGAGTCGCTTAGTGTCTGGCAGAATTCCCCAGTGGGTGATTTTGTGAGTTTGATCACGGGCAGCCCAGCAGTTCCACACTTGGATCGCTGTCCGGGTAGCTGTGCATTTGCTGCCATTTAGAAGGAAACCCACAGCACAAGAACGACTGTGGTTCCTGCACTGAGCCTTGCAGCTCTGCACGCCGTGCACAGGGCCCCCCAGGAACTGCGCCCATCCCCAAGAACCAGGCGCTGGTGGTACAGCACTAGATCTGCCCTGAGGTTTAATGTGGAGAACGGCTGAGCTAATAACACACGTTACTAGTTCATGTTTGATTATTTGTTTCCATAAAGCGAAAAGGATGAACTCCTGTTTTATTCCCCTTTCCTGTGAGTTTATCTTTGTGGTGAAGCAGAATTTGAAGCCCTGGTTTGGAGGGTGGGCCTCTGGGATGCTAGCACTATGACCACAAATGCCCGCCCCAGTTTCTGCCACTCCTTTGTTCCTGACGATGGCCACGTGAGGTTGGGGTCATTACAGCTTGTCACCATCGTTTGTATTATTCAGGTGCCATTCTGAGGCCCAGAGCAGTCATCTTGCCCAAGGGTAGCAGGCCTGGCCCCTGCATAAGCACATGGGGTCACAGCCGTTGGCCCTTGGGCTGTCCCCACTGCTGGCCTTGGGATCTGTGCAGAAGGGCCAGGACTGCATCACCTGTTGCCAGACCCAGCACACCTGGGTAATCTCTCCTGGGTAACCTGGGCTCCCCTACGGGTTGGCCTTGGGCCCTGCATCCTGGCCCCATGGCAGGCAGAAGACCCCACGGTATTGCGACGATTGTTTCGAGGCGAACCTGCCCTGGTGAGTGGGCTGCACGTGCCCCACCCCGGCCGGTGGAAGCAGGTTCTGTCCGTCAGCCAGCAGGGAGCCTGGTGGGAAAGGGCTGCTTCTGTGACTTCCACGCAGGCCTGCTTCCCCACCTGCTGAGCCCCCAGGTCCTAATCCCACTGCTCACAGGGCCTCCTCCTCTCAGCCCTGCCTGGGGCCGAGGGAGCCGCAGTCCCAGTGTGAAGGTGCTGAGCCAGTCGTTGGGCTGGCAGCCTGGGGGCTTGCTCCCTGCCACTGCTCTTCAGGCCCCTCCTGACTCAGCCCCCACACTGGAGCTGCAGAAAGTGGGGGGAGTGGCCAACAAGGTCACACCCACCAGGCTCAGCTCAAAGGGCGTGATGATACAGACCCTGCACTCTGGGTCCCTCAGTTTGCCAAAGAGGACAGCAGCACAGGAGGGACACACCTGGTGCTGGCGGGAGAGCTGGCTGGTGGGATGGGGTGCAGATCCTGACAGCAAGGGTGGGGAAGCTGTGCTGGACGTGGGCCCAGCACCGCTGGACTCAGGAAGTTGGCTCCAGCTCTGGTGGGAGGAGCCGCAGGAGCACAGTGCAGCAGGGGGAGGGTAGAGGCCTTGGGGACAGGCAGGTGAGGAGAGGTGGGGGCAGGTAGAGCCAGGTGGGGCTGGTATGTAGAGACAGTACCTCAGGGCACTTGGCTAAGGCCTCAGATTTGGGGCATAATAGAAACAAAGGCCGGGTCATCCTAGAAACAAGGGCCGTTACCACTGGAAATGCTCGGAGGCTTCTCTGAGCCCCGCTTGGAGGTCATATTGGGCTCCTCGCACCCACCCCAGTGAAGCAGCAGCCAGAGGCCCCAGAGGTGCCTTCCCTCGTGCTCCTGGGCCCCACGGACAGGCTCCGGTCCAGCTGACCACTGTTCTGCTCCTGACAGCTTGCTCATTTGGGGCCTGGGGAGATGGGTAAAAATAGACTCCAGAACTGTCTAAAATCAGTTGGCAAACGGGTGGCCAGATGGTGCCAGTTCCTGTGCACAAGGGGTAAACTATTTTGAACGTGGAAAGGGCTATTTTCAAGTTTGAACTGAAGTGCGAAGCTGCCTCCCCACTGCCGTGAGTCACATCAAGGAGAAGCTGTGACCGTCCCCTCAGTGTCTGGGAAGGGTTGGCCCCTGGGTGCCAGCAGCCTGTGCTGAGGGCCTTGGGAGGAGGGGGCCTGGCCCTGGAGCTGCTCAACCTCGAGGGGCGGGCGAGCGGGTGGTGGGGCTGCAGCACGGCGGCTGGGCTGGAGGGCCCTGCACCCTCATCACAGTCCTGGGGGCCCAGCTCGGGGCCCTGGGGGCTGAAGTGCACGTGCTTCTTCCAGTCCGGCTGCCTCTGAGCCAGGCCTGAATCTCAGCCCCTTCCTGCTGTCAGGCCAGCCTTCTGCTCCTTGGAGGGAGGGGAAGGAGAGACCCCAGTGTGTCCCCGGTGTGAGCTGCTGGCAAGGCAGAGGGGCTCAGGGAACCAGGACTCTGCACGATTTTCTCCTATTCGCCACCTTTAGCACCACAGGCTAGTGTTAGGCGGGTCCACAGTGATGCTGGCCACGTGAGGCTCGGTGTAGGGGGTAGATGGTGGGGCAGCCTCAGCCACCCACCAACCTGGAGCCCTGAAGCCCAAGAACAGCTGCAGGCCAGTCACGTGACCCATCAGCCACCCAGCAGGTCCCAGCTGGTTGGGGCCCCGGAACCTGCCATGTGCTAACGGCTAGAGACACAGCCAGTCACCTAGCTGGTCCTGTTGGCCCAGGGTGCCTGCCTAGCCCGGAACCACCAGGCATTAGGCATGTGGTACCCCCTCCCCTCCTCTGTGGCTCCCTGGCACCGTTCTCATGGCCCCGGCACAGACGGCAGTGATACTGCAGGAGGTTGATGATTTCCAAGCCGCCACTGAAGGCCGGGCCTGAGCCAGGTCCTGGCCCTGCAGACCCTTCCAGAGCTCGAGAGGCTTCCCGGGCCACACACACAGCAGGCATGAGACCCAGGCCACTGACGGTAGCCCAGCTTGCCCACCCATGTTTGGGGAGTGGCAAGGTCATTCGGGATTAGGATCAGGACCCGCAAAAGCGATTAGTCTGTCCTCCTTCCTCCTGGGCACAGCTGGACAAGGTTTCCAGCTCAGACATGCTCTGTGTCTGTCTGTGTGACACCTGTCAGGGTGACCAGCAGCCACACCCCTTGGCACTCACACAGCTTGGCCCCAGTGCGCTCCCCTGGGGGGCAGCCCTCACAGGCCAGGCTTCTGGGAAGAGCGAGTCCCCAGTGGGCGGCCCAGCCCAGTGAGGGGTGGCCAGGCCGCCTTTTTCCTCCTGGGCTTTTCAGTTCTCACTTTGCTTTGGCCATGTCAACAGGCTCCCCGCCTTCCCCACAGAGGCAAAGCTGCTCTGCCCTCAGGATCACGCACCTCTTCCATCTCAGGGACCCTCTCAACAGCCCTCGGGGTGGAAGAGGCCAGGCTGAGACTGGAACCCTGTTCCCGTCCAGAGGACGATCACACTCTGGGTCCCAGAATGGAGGACTCTGCAGGAGTCCTGGCATTCAGCTCCCAGTACATCTCACGAGGACACCAACGCCCAGGAGGTTGCCTGCCTCGGGGTGGGCAGCAAGGCAGTGCCATGAAGGGCCTGGTGTGTGTGGTGTGGGTCGAGGGCTTTGGGGTGGCCTGAGGCTCTGCTCCTGCTCAGGGCCGGGCATGAGTTCTCTTGAGAGCTGAGGCCACGCCTCAGGGGAAATGTGACTGTGTCCAGCGCTCGGGTCAGCCAGGCCCTCCCTGGGCCCCTGGGAGCCGCCCCCAGCCACCCCCACATCGCTGGGCCCCAGGCCTAATCCAGCTTAGCAAGCACACAGTGCACAGCCCAGCTCAGCATTCCAGAGTGGCGGGGCCAGGCCAGCGCCTGCTCCCTCCATGGCTGGCAGGGATGGGGCCTGAAGGTTGGCAACATCAGAGGAAACCGGGGCAGCTGGAGATGGACACCAGGTAGGCACCTTAGGGCAGAGGGGGCAGGTGGGTTCGCCACAGCCCACAGGGTGACCAGGCAGCTCATTGACTACAGATGCCCCCCTCACCCCCGCACCAAGTGACAGTGTAAAAGGCCCTGGTCCAGCCACGTGAGCCCCTCAATCTTGGGAAGCAGGATACAGCAGCTTCCACTGTGCCCCACTCTTCAGGCCACTTGTACACTGTCTGATCTTCCTGTGCCCAGTCCAGCCACATGTGGCCCAAATGAGGTTCCTGCGGTCCTGGGGATTTGATTCCTGTCCCTCTGCTACCCTACTTTGGCCAGACCTGCAGTGGCAGCAAGGTGAAGGTTACTCAGGCCGGCGGCCGGCAGCCCAGGCCACATGGGCAGCATCCTCACCTGCAGGGATGGTGCTGGGAGGTAGGCAGGGCCGGGTTCTCCTGCTTGAACAGGGTTACTCCCCAACATCCTTGGTTAGTGAGCGTCTCTGAGAGCCTAGCTCCACCCCAGGAAAGCTGCGTGATCCCACACCGCCTCCAGGGGCACCCAGATGGCAGTAAGGATCCAGCTTAAAAAACCAGTGACAGCACTGGTTCCATGCCCTGGGAGACTTGAGGGTGGGGGTCTGTGGGGACCTGGATCCTGGCCCTGCACACACTGCCTTGTGGCCTTGAGCAAGTCCCTTGGCCTCCCTGAGCCACCATTCTCTCCTTAGTCATGCTGTTCAAACGGCTACCTCAGTGCTGGTGAGAATGCCCCAGACAGCCCTGACCCACAGCAGGAGTGCACTGTGAGGGAAGTGGGGAAGGCAGGGGCCTCAGTGATGAGTCTGGAGAGGATCTGGGACAGGTCTGTAAGAAGCCATCAGCTGCCCCAGAAAATACAACAAAAGTCCCCTTTTCTGTAGAAAGAGAAAATGGTTGTTTCTATGGTATTTAGAGCTCACAGATATCAAGGGTAGGAGGAAGGGAGCCTAGTTCATCTTTGCACTACAATTGTGTTTCCTTCTTTGCTTTTGCTGCTAGGAAGCTCAGAGGCCACATGGTCTACAGGGCTCTCTGACATGAGTTTGTGGAATTCTTTACCATGACTTTTGGCTGCTATTTTATACTGTTTGTAGCTCATTTACAAGCCTTGTTTCAAATGCTGTGTGTTATATGAAAGCAAAGTCTGTGTTGTGTTGAAACTCATGGTCACAGAGATGCCTGCAGGAGCTGTGACTGGTCAGCAGGGAGTGATGAAGCAGTACTAAGGAAGTTGAGAGGCCTTGTGCAGCCGCTGAGCCAGTTGGGTGGGGCAGGCGCAGGCAGGGCACCCACAGACCATAAGGACTGGAACACTGTGAAGTGCCGGTCACGTGTCTCGCCTGTAATAAGGCTCCGTGTGTGACGCTGCGGGGGCCCCTGCAGCCTCTCCCCAAGGCAGGCGGGCGAGCAGGCAAGGGACCGTGCCTTGTGTGGACTGGGATCCTGTCCTGCTCCCTGCTCCCTGGGCCTTGGTATCTGGGGACAGGAGGACCTGGCCAGGGGCTTCCCTGAAGTGAAGTGCCCAGTGCTCTCCCAGGGAGAGGAGCCTGGGCCCCTGCTGTTAGGGCTCCTACCCTGGTTAGTGGACAGGTGGCAGGAGCCGAGACTAACCTGCCTGGGTGCTGGGGCTGCCTGAGCTTAGGGTCGGGGAAAGCAACGATGACATGGACAGAGGTCACTTGGGAGTAGCAGCTCGGAGTGGACCAAGCTCTGGTTAAGGACCCAGTATGACCTCAGAGGCTCTGTTCACTGTCTGTGGGATAGGGTAAGGGTCCCAGTCCCCTCATCTTATGGGACTCCTGTAAGGGTGTGGGGCGATTCTGAGGTACCCAGAGGGATACTCTGCCTTCCTACCCCTGCCACCTCTTAACCCACTGGTGCTGACCCAGCAGAGGTGCCTTCCAGTCTGGTCGCCGGGGTGGGTGGTCACTGTGTCTGCTGTTAGGGTCCCCACCCTGAGGTCTGCAGCGATGGAGGGGCAGGGATGCAGGGTGAAGCTGGAAACCACTGTGGGACCCAGGACAATGAAGGCTTGGCTCCAGGCCTCAAACTGTGGAGTGGGAGAGCCAGGCTTGGAGCTGGGTCTCCCAAGGCCCACCTCGGGGGTCCCCAAATTGCATGATAGCCAGTGACTGCAGCTCCGCACCAGTGGGCGAGCCCTGTAGACCCAAAATAGCCCCAGACCTGCAACGGCCCTGGATGCAGCCTTCCTCGCCTCCAGAGCCTGCTAAGTGCATAAGGAGATTTCTTCCCCCAACCCCCAACATGTGCCAGGACACCTGTCAGCATAAATCCCTGACCCTTCTGGAGAAGCGGGTTAGGGTGGCTTAGGTGTGGCCAGGGAGGGGACAGGGACCAGCACCCAGATGTCCCGGGGAGGGCAGGAGACCCTTGATTGTGTCTCCTCCCCAGAGCCTCGCGGGGCTGCTGGGAACTAAGCCTTGGTTTCTTCGTCTGTCAAATAGGGAAAATCCCTCTCCTCCCTCTGAGGATTTTGCTGGGTGAGCTGAGACAGGGTGCCTGTGAGACACGGTCTGTGGGGGCAGTACTGTGGCAGCTCATGGAGGGACGTGGGCTCAGAGCGGCTGGATGGCTCGTGGGAACCTTGGCCTGCCCATGCCTTTCCCACTACACTTTGCTGGTTTTCCTTGGGCCTCTGCTTCCATATCTTGAAGATGACGAGGAGGGGGGAGCACCTGCCCCACCCACCCTGCACGGTGCTGGGGGGTGAGATGGGGGGACACAAGGAAGTCACCCAGGGAGGGCCTGTTAAGGAGCATCATGCTCGGGGCCAGCTGAGCAGTCAGCCCTCTGGAGCCCTGGCCTGGGGCCCTTTCCACTAAGCCAGACCGGCTCCCAGGGCCTGGCTTCTGTTGGGTGGGAGAGCCAGCCAAGCCCAGGCAGGTGCCCCACTCTGGCAGGATGTTGAGTTATCCAGCAAATGCTCTGGAGCAGCTGCTGAGCTTGGGGGATTCCGTGGGATGAAGAGAAACAGGCATAGTCACTAGAGAAACTAACTGGCCGGCGAGACTGCAGTGGAGGCAAGGGTCAGAAGGGGCCTGACCCAGCAGGGGCGGAGCCTTCCCTTGGGGGGTGTGGGAGAGGCCTGAGGAGCAGCAGGAGGTAGCGGGTTGGTGAAGGCATGTGCTCAGGCAGCTGAAAATCTGGATGTCATAGTAGGCCACAAGTTTGAAGGGGGACCTTTAAAGCAGAGTTTATATGATACAGACTTTGAGTTAACTTGGTGGAAACTTCCAGTCCCAGTTCCTCTGCCAGACAAGAACTGTTTGTTACTTCTGAGCCAGGCAGTATAGCAGAAGGTGACTTTCCTTCCTTCTGTGCCAATGCCAGGGTCTGGCCTGAGCTGCCAGGGGTGTGTTGGTTCCGGTGGGGACAGGGGTCGTGACAAACCTCAGGTCCAGCCCTGGTGAGGGCACGGCAGCTGAGCGCTTGGGCCCCAGCTGCGAGGAACCCACAGCCGGCACCCCAGCTGCTGCTGGCAGTGACACTGGGGTTCAGTGCCCTCAAAGGGCGTCCTGAGTGTGGGGCACCCACCAGGGCAGATGCCAGACTGGCTCTGAGGAAGCCAAAGGGGGCAGCACAGGTGTATCTGACCCACCTGGCAGGGGGAGGGGGAGGGGAGACGGTGCTCCCGGCCCTGTGCTCACAGTCTCCCGCCCCCCAGGCCTGCAGGGACTTCCTGGAACTAGCAGAGACGCACAGCCGGAAATGGCAGCGTGCCCTGCAGTATGAGCAGGAGCAACGCATCCACCTGGAGGAGACCATCGAGCAGCTGGCCAAGCAGCACAACAGCCTCGAGCGCGCCTTCCGCAGCGCCCCCGGCCGGGCCGCCAACCCCAGCAAGAGCTTCAGCGAGGGTGAGCGGGCGCAGGTGGCCTCTGCCCGGGCGTCCCCGCACACAGCCCCCGGGACCCACCCCCTCCACATTCCCACGGCTGGGGTCACCTTGGCTGACACTGGCTGCCCGTGTGGCTTGTTCTCCCCACGGCCCCAGACAGGCAGCCTCCCAGTATCCAGGACACAAACCTCGGCGACCCCAACTGTCCCCTCTGTGGCAGGGCTGCCTGGGCTCGAGGTCACAGGTACCCCGGGAAAGGGGTCTGTCAGAAAGGGAAGCTGGGCCAGACTGACCAGCATGTTTAGAGATCAGGGAAGCTTCCAGAAGGAAGGAGGCTCTGAGCATGAGGGTTGAAAAAAAGTGTGTCCCAGGAAAGGGAGCTCGGGCCCCCCAGCTGAGTGACTGAGGTGGGGAGGGGACACAGGGCACTGACTCTGGGCTTCCCTCTCAGGCAGCCGTGATCTTTGAGGCCACAAACTGAGGCAGTGGTTCCTTGTGTCTCTAGGAAGCCTCCTAACCACCAAAGGCGAGGACAGTGAGGAAGATGAAGATACCGAGTACTTTGACGCCATGGAAGACTCCACGTCCTTCATCACTGTGATCACCGAGGCCAAGGAGGACAGGTGGGCTCTGAGAGGAGGTGGAACCCCTCCTGGGTCAGCCTCTCCCGCCCGTCCTCAGCCCCACCTGTTCGTCTTCTTTGCACTCAGGGTTTTTTCTTTAAGTCTTGCTTCAGATGGTGTTTTTGCTTAGATTGGTTCTGTTCTTACTTAAATCAAAAATGCCCAAATAGAGCACCCTGCCTGGGCCCTCAAGCTTCTGACCCACAGCCATAGCGCCCCCTGCTGCTCTGGCCCCCATCTCGCCACAGGTGTTCCTGGAAACAGAGATGCACCTGACCCGCTTCCTTCCCTTCCCAACCTCAGTCCAGTGCAGGAATCAAACCAGCACAGGGGACACAGTGGGGTCTGTCTGTGGCAGAGGGGGCCCGCGGAGCTCCATGGGGCTCTCTCCAAGATGCCCACCCCTTGGCTCCTCTGCGTCCAGGGTCAGCATTCCAGAGCAGGGGCCCCTGGTGAGGACTTTGCTGGACAGCAGCAGCAGCTGTTGTCAGTGGGTGGGAG